TTCTAGCAAACTCACGGCGGTTTGCTGAAAACCTATGTTTCCTTTCGTAAGGAACTCGTTTCGGCTTTGGGACTGCCAATTTGTTGCTTTTTTTGGTAAACACTTTGACTGCAAGAATGAAGGAAACTGAAGAGTTGATCATCGGACTGCCTTGGCTCACCGGCGCGATAGGAGCTGCCAGGCGCGAGGGGAGGGTTTTGGAGGCTGAGGCTGAGCTCGGGAGGTGTGTGGGGGGGGGAGGGAAGGGTCGCTTGTTTTGCATGTCTTGAGTGCTATTGGGTTGGATCTTTAGACTTTAACTTTTTGGGAAATCAAGAGTTTTTTCCATGAAGCCCGCAAAAAGTTAAACTTTATTGCAGACGGGTCAACAGCAACCAAGGAATATAAGTTTGACCGCGGCTTGACTCAAATGGTTGGGCAACCAGCCTAGAATCTTTGAAGACCGTGCATTCATCTCGGATCGCGCATGTCTTTCCAATAGAGCCACAATCAAAACCCGGGTAAATGAAGGTAAGTAAACCATAACTGGCTGCGGCCGCCTTCCAAATTCTTCACATGGTTGTGGGCCTCTGAGTAGACCATTTTTCTACCGGGTTTTGACTATGACTCAATCGACCGCCGTCCGGCCACATGAAAAACGTTCGGTTCGCCAGGCTCAGTGTCGGGGCCCCGCTTTCGCTGGAGCCCGTGCACGTCCGGACGTGGAGAACATAGCACTCCCGTCAACGTGGAACCGTTGGGTGGTCTTGGAAGATACTTCTCCTCCAAAGAGGCTTCTGTGGGGGTTCTAGACGAGAGGTTTTCTGAGCAGCCCGCAACAAAAAGCTTGCCTTAATGACTCCATTGTCCCAAGATTTGCACAAACCTGCCTGTCTTCGGAGAATGGGTGCATGCCAAGAAAGGACACGAGACTGCCCTATAATTTTTCCCCAATGCAGAGCCCCCATCGCCCTTCATTTCATCCTTTCAGAGACAACCGTGCAAAGGGCCAGCAGGTTTCGTTTTGGCATGGGTGTCCCGGAGCTTTTCGCTTCTTGTTGCGGGCGTAGATGCAGGTTTTGTGCAGGGATGCGGATTACATTTCCGGCGGTTTGCCCGCACGGGTTGGTCTCCCAGCCATCCCCTTAGCTTTTTAGATCCTTTTAGTATTTAGTGGTAGTTTCCGTTTGACCCACTAAAAGTTAGTCACTTTTAGCCGGGGATCTGAAAACGGGCAGCCCAGAAATGGCCAGGTTCCTTTTGGTGTCCCAACAAAAGCAGCCGCCCTTCGCGGGGGTGCCTTCGCCCAGCCATGGATGCGCTTCCCCAAAGATGGAGGATGCCTCGAGGATGGGATTGCTCGAGTGGATCAACGGATTTCGACGCTTGGGGCAATACTGTGGATGGACGAAATCCATTTCGCGCCACCTAAGAGACCCTGGAATCATCTTTCCCCTGCAGATGCCAACCAATAATGGTTTCCCATGCTATCAAAGCGGTGCAGGATTTTGTCCATCCACAGTGTTGCCCGCCCAGAGCCGATGTGCGATCCAAACACAGTCACTGCAGGGATGGTACAGCTGGAGCTGCATGATATTTTTGCAGCAAGCACTTCCATGCACTGGTTGCTAGAACAACACATTGTGAGGAATGACTTGTCCAGGGAGTGCCTTGAACCCATGAGTCTTGGGCCAACCCAATTTTTGGAGCAACCTCCTTGTCGTCCCCATCTATCGGACGCCGACATGAGTTTCTCAACAAGTGTTGCCAAGCCCTGCAGATGGACTAATCCTTGCACGAGTTGGTGGTTCATCCCAGTCAAATCGGGTTTTGTGGATTTTGACATCTACCCGTGTCGCGCTTTACTTTTTTTCGGGCTACCTATGGGGGTAAGGGAAGCCAACCATAGCTTTTAGCAAGCCGTCCAAACACCACAATTTCTCGTCGTACAGATAAGTACCTACTGGAACTACTACCAGTGCTAAGCTGCCGATCTTCTTGGTGCTTCCCAGCCAACCCCTCAGGTTTCTCGTCAATTTTTAGTTGTTTGTGGTCTGAAACTTGAATAAAGCCTTGTTCGACTTTCATTCAGTTTCTCCTTTCAAACTCTTTTTCGAAGTTTCGCATGATTTTACTGAAGTGGTTGGGTTGCCGAATTTCAACCAGCAGTTCGTCCCTAGCTCGATCCGAACAGCGGACAGTGACTTCGGGTCCGGCTTAAGGCGCGGCCTCCTCTTTGAAGGTGAAGCGGTGCTGGCAGAGGCAGGGTGGCAAGTCATTTTCGCTTCTTCTTTTTGTTTCAAAGATGGGGGGGCTCATGGCTGTGGCTCAAAAGATGGTACCCAAAATGGCCCCAAAGACCAAAACCTGCGGAACCCTGACTCTATAAAAATTGAGCCGCTGCTCAAAAAAAGGGTACCCATGGTCTGGTCCCTTGGAAACAAAGACCAAGACCCGCGTCATGCTGGTGCATTTTTTGGAGTTGGAAGTTGATCAAAAGGTCCGTGATACATGGGACAACCATTAGTTGGAAAAGCACTACAAAGATTATCATTCCTCACTAAATGGGTACCCGTGGTCATTTGGGGGCCAGGAATATTCATCAACCCCCGAATGCCCAAGCTATGGTTTGGTTGATTTTCGCACTAACCCTGGGTGTCTTTGGTTTTACATGGATAAACACCACATTTCTTTTGTGGAAAGCAAGTCCATTCCAGCCTCACATCAACCCAATCAGTTTTGGCGGACACCTTTCAAGAATCAACACACTCTCTCGGAGTCATTCAAGCAATCTAGTGGAAGAAGTGTCCATACTTAACAACGAATCCCCTGTTCTGAGGGCTTAGCGCTTGGCAACGGAGCCGATCTTGCGCGCAAGCCGGCGCTCCCCTTGGGTTCTCGGAATCCCTGGGAACCCCACTGAAACCCGTTGGAATCCTTTGCAACCGCTTCATACCACCAGGAAGGCATATCCAGAAACTGCTTCATGGAGCTTCGGATCCCTGTGCACCGACTGCTCCATGGAACGCTCTGGAACCATTGGGAGCCTACCTCACGACTGCAGAGCTGATCTGGGCAGACACCCCACAGCTTTTGGTTAGTTGGGGAAAACACACATCACACAAGGGTCTTTAGTCTTGACACCTTAAGAAATGGGGCCATGGATCTTGTGAGACGAGTTGCAGTTTATCAGCATTGCCTTTTAAGTCAGGTGCATTCAGATGCTCCAAGCCCGTAAGATGCAGATGTCCCTAAGAGCAAGAGAGGAACTCAGTTCTCAGCCTTTTTGTTTTCTCAAAGCGGCCAGGGGCCAATTGAAGAGGGAAGCGACCTCACCCGCAGGCTCTTTCTGCCGCAGATACCAAGGAGGACGTGCGTTTTGCGTTGTGAGAATTGGGCGTGCCTTTTTTCTTTTCTTCTTCTTGCGGGGTTTTCCTTTCCGGGTTTTGGTTTGTGTTTTTCAGAGAAGCCAAGAGGAAGCTCGTTGGGTGTTGGTGGTGGGGTTGGGTTGTTCAGCCCTCCGCCTTCGCTGGCTCCTCATGGACAGGGCTCCTTAAAAGAGAGTCATTTTGCCAGGCTGTGTGTCAAAACCAAGGGTACCATTTTAGTGTATTTTAGTGGGGATTGGCACAACTTGGGATGTTCACCGGGGGTACGGGATTTTGACCCATTTTGACCCATGGCCACCATTTGAAACGATAGGCTCTGAGAGATTTTTGTTTGGAGGATTTCCATCTCGGGTCGTGCTCTAAGACCAGCGTTTTGGACAAACATCGCCTGGTCCTGAGACATGTGACGCTTTTTCAACACCAAAGTAAAGTTGGAACAACCACCAGAAAACAAGGCAGGCAATGTTCAGGGCTTTTTCAACACCAAAATGAAGTTGGAAACACCACCGGACAACAAGTTGCAATGTTCAGGTGTTTTTCATGTAAGGATCCCTGCATAGAGCTCATGGCTTGTGCAGTCCGAGCGGACCATGGACGGGGCCCTATGGAGTTAATCCCCCACGAAGAGCAACCTCGGAGAAGTACGGTCCTCAAAGTTGACCTTCCGATTCACTGTTCTGGCCCCCTTTGTCTGGGTTCTTCGACTGGCGGCCTGCAAAAAGCAAGTTGTTTTGTGAACATACCAATCAAGTTTACTCAATTGCTAGGGGTTTGGACCCCTGGTTCTGGCTTTTTGTAGAGGGTAGAAAGAAACTGCCCCTAAACCACTCCAAAACACCGACTAGAGGGAAGCGGATACCAAGGCTGGACAGATAGGTTCTGTTGAGGATTTTTGTTGTGACATCTCTCAGATCTCAGGAGTGGCTTCAGCTTTGCGACCATCCGATTCAACGCCGCGGCCTGTGTTTCACGCATGGTTGCGGTTGGGACATTTGGGGAGGTTTGGGTTGACGAGGGGCCAAAAGCCGCCGTCCTTTGGGGAGCTCCCCCCCTTTTATCGACTTTAAAGGGAGCCAACGTTCTATTCTGGGGCATTACTTGCTGGTCAGCAATGAACCCAGGAATGGTTTATAGGGGTCATTCCCTCATTGCCTGCTGAGCACCAGCAAGATTAGGTTTGACACACCTCATGCAGATCCTTCTGACTGGAGTTCGGAGTTTTGGAGTTGTCTCACTGAGGACTGAACCGGGCCTGCCGCTCAGCGTGAGCCGCGTTTGAGTCAGCCCACTTTGACGCACCATCTACATGGGTGTCTTTTGTTAGCCCCCCTCCCCCAAAAAAAAGGAGCAAGAAGAGACACCAAGCAAATAAACAAACAAATAAACATATGAATCAATGAATAAATACATAAATGGATAAATAGATAGATAGACATATATATATAGATAGATAGATAGATAGATAGATGGATGGATGGATGGATGGATGGATGGATGGATGGATGGATGGATGGATAGATAGACAAATGAATAAAAACATAGATAAATAAAGAAATACATGCATAAAACAATAAATGAATGAATAGCTGAATGAATGCATATATATATATACAAACCATAAAAATAGAAGGTGGTTTTCCTTTTGGCCATCCTTCAAAGCCACCAAGGAAAGGGTAACATCAAAACCGCATCTCTCGACAAGGAATCAACCTGCAGTTTGGGTCTTCGAGCCAGGCCCTTGCGGGCAAATCGGAAGCTTCAGCTTCTTGGATGCTTTTCGATTGAGACATGGGGCGTAGGAATGCGACTTCGGATCACAAGATTTGGCCACGTGTACAGATCGAAGCAAAGCAAATGCCCAAAAATGCCCCGTGAGGAAATGGAAGACCTGGGAATGGTATGGTACCCTAAACCTTGCGGAAGAGCTCTATGCCTAGGCCGCGGATGGCGATTCCGACGGCGGGATGGGCGGGATGGGCGGATGGGCGGATTGCCGAGGGCAGCCAGTAATATCAGCCTCATATTAGTAAAGGGGTCCCCCCCCAAACTGTATGTTGTTTTTGCCCCGAGCTCGCAATCATGCAACTGTCGGAGGCCGTACTTGTTAGTAGTGCTTGCAGTCTTTGTAGTACTTCTTGGTGGTTCTTGCAGTCTTTCGTTCTTGGTACTTTAGCACTCCTTGTAGCACTGGCAGTGCTAGTAGTACTTATTTGTACAAAGAGAAAGGTGTTTGGACGGCTTGCTGGAAGCTAGGATCCGAGCCAATGGCTCTCCAAGTACAAGATCTGCAATAATCGCCTGGGTGGGGAAGCTTGCAGAACTGCAGAATGAGTTGTGCCACAAACAGGGCCTTGGGGAATTGTTGTTGATACGAGTATTTTTTTGGGGTGGTTCTCAATGTGAGGGAGAACAGATGGATGCAGAGTCCTCCTAGTGGGGAGCGATGACTTGGTTGGGCTACCTTCCCCATTCTTTGCAGGGATCCTTCTTTCTAGAAAACCTCCGGAAACCCAGGGAAAATAGCTGGTTATTGAAAAAAACAATGGTTGGAAAGCATGGAATCGGAATCAACCTCTAGAAATACGAGTATTTTTTGCCACCCTCAACCAATGATGCTGCTGGGCCTTACGCCTGATGGATGCCCTCAATGCAAGTCGTGGCCCAGCTCTGCCAGGGTTGTCAGCTTGATTTTGGCGGGAAAGGAGGGCCATGTTTGCAGGTATTGGTGTTTGGGTGGCTGTTGCGGCTTTTGTCGCTTTTGGTGGCTTTTCGGCAACATCAGCAACACCGTGCTTTTGAAGGCTTCTGATGACGTCAGTAGCTCCTTGCAGGATTCTTCGTTTGTGTTCTTATGTGTTCTTATGGCTGCCCAACTTTCAACGAACCGTCACTACTTTTGGCTTGTTGCCGTTTTTGTGACTCGTCGCAGAGCCAAAACCACAGGCCCCAATCCAACCCTGAACCACCACTAACCTACCCCAAACTGCCACGCTAAGCCCGTTGGACAGAATCCCTACAGAAACCCTTAAACGCGCCTCAAGCCAACCCTAAACCACCCTAAACCAACCCCAATCCAACCCTAGACGCCCAGAGCCAACCATAAAGCCTAAGCCAACCCTACACGAACCGGACACCTCACCCTAAACCCACCTAAGGTAACCAAACCAGCAATAAACCATCCCTAAACCCTAAACCTAGGCCAACTCTCACTCTAACCCCCCCTCCCCCTCTCTAACCAACCCTAAACCCACCCTAAACCACCCAACCAATCCAACTTGAAACCAATCTAAAAGAGCAATTCGCCGATGCTGGGGGTGTAACAAAAAACACAAGATTCTGGGGATGTTGGGCTGCTGTAAAACGCGTGTTTGATGAGAAGATGCCCAGAGCCAAAAACAACAAAGACTGAAAATCAGAAAAAAACAAATCCTGAAATAAGTCAAACAACACAAACTGAAAATAAGCAAAGCAACTCCTGGACTAATTCTCGACCCGACACGCTGAAGAAACAAAGCGCCTGAGCTAAATCTGGGACAGAAATGGGCTGCCCGGGCGCTGACGGCTGCGAGTCCGTTTTTCCGTAGGCTCCGACTGCGAGTCCGTTGCGACGCTCCGGGCTCGGAGATCATGGCGTGTCGCGGTGTCGCGGTGACCCCTTCAAGGCTCGTGTGTTTCAGCTTGGCGATCTTTTTTGTTTCCAACTGTTCATATTTGACTGCGCAGGGGAGGACGTTTCTCAAGCTTGGTGCTCAGCAAAGACAAAAGCGATCGTGTTCGAAGCCCGTTCGAAATGTCACACAAGTTCCTTCGCTCTTGATACCTCCCTTCTTTGCTAACTCGGTCGAAGTCAGCGTGCCGGATAGTTGAACCCCTCTGACAATTCCAAATAGTAAGTTGTTTTGATTTGTGATGAGAGGGCAGCCGGGAGTTATTTCAGCAATTCCGATTTGGGTCTGCGACAGAGTAATTGTTTGAGTTCGCAGGAGCGCAGATGCGATTAGACTTGGAACACCCGAGGTCTGACGACAGCCAGGTGCTCGGATGTTGTCAGAATCGATGGCAAATTGGTCATCACACCAGGTTTTGTTTTTAGGTTGCTCTCTTCAGGTTGTTTAGAAGGGACACCAAAACGAAAGTCCACCATTTGAATGACACATACCCTCTTGCAGATTTGGGCTTCTTCTTGAATGTGTTGTTTGTATCCGTGAATTGCCGAGGCGCGCGCTTTGTGAAGGTGGAGAATGACGGAGGCCCATGGCCAGCCATGCGATTTCAAGACTCCATGGATCACTTGGGTTCCCGGTGAAAACAAACACGATCGCGGGGAGGCATGTACAGTTCATTGGCTTGATGTGGCTGGGAATTGACCGGAAAGTTGTCAGGCAAAGCTTTGGTAAGACCACGACCAAGAGCACGATGCCCTTTCAAGACTTCATGGATCACTTGGACCCCGCCGGTGGTTCACCACTATCGCGAGTGATTATTGTATCGTTCCAGCTTCCGGCCGGGAATTCACAGAACTTGAGGCTCCTCCAACCATTTGAAACATGTGTTTTTTTCCTTTTTCACCAAAATAAAGCTGGAAAAACCACCATTTACAAGGCAGGCAATGTTCAGGTGTATGATGTAAGGATCCCTGAAATACCCACTTTTGGAAAACCTGGGTTTCCAGGGTATATACCTCCTTCGGATCCCTGGATTCAAGAGCACAGCTGTGCAAGTAAGCCTGGGCTCCCCAACCCTGAGCCATGGTTCCGTTCACCCGTGCCTACTGGTTCCAGATGCTCCGTAAGGTTTCTGACTTCACGCAGGCTTCCTTATGCTTGCTTCTTGGGAAGCATCAAGCAAAGCCAAGCGAGTTTTGACATGGCCATTTCACGGGTGAAAAACCCACATGGGTGAGACATATAGCCCAGGGAGTCCAAAGGCCTGAGTTACGGAGGCCGTTTAAACACGGAGGTTTTTTACGGCCTTTTTACGGGGTGTTTACGGCCGTTGACAAAAGGCCTAAGTTACTCAGGCCGAGGAAGCTCTGGGTAGGCTCACAGCCTCTCCAACTCCTTATCCGGTTCCCCGGTTTTCTTCTGTGCTGCGGGCGGTTTCCTCCGCCCTCTACATGAGACTCTACTGGCAAGAAACACCTGCAAGTGAGTTTTTCATATCTCCCCTTCAATCCTCCCACTTGGGTTTGGATCAGGCAGGTGCTTGGCTGGCGGCGTGGTGCTGCGGCGGCACGTGCTAGGGACCTGCCTGAAGCTCGGCTTGCACTTGGTTTTTACGTTGTTGGGCTACGAACTCTACTTCTCTTTGGTTCTCTTTCTCTCTCTTCTCCTGTCCAGACTGCATTGCCGGGGCGTGCACCGTCGATGGGGCATTTGGCCCCCCGTGAATGCTTTGAGAGACACAATCCCAGATCAGACTGGTGTTTGATTCCTTGAAGGGATTTTGCTTTTGCTTTGGTGTAAAGAGGCTAAAGCCATTGGAGATGCAATGGGAAGCCGCTGTTCGTCGTTCAACGCCCAAGTACTCTCATTTCTGCCCAGCGCAGACCGCAAAGAAGCACGTTGGGCATGTCACGTGAGACCTTGAGAAATTGGGCGGCGGCTCCCGGTAGCGGGGCTTGTATATATATATATATATATACACATATGCATGTTTGAGGACTTCCGTCTGGGAAGGTCTGCTCAGTGTCACTTTTGTTTCATTCTCCTTGACTTGGCTTTTCTGTCCTAAGAGTTCCTGCACTTTCGTCCTCTTGGCAAAAGGCATGCAAGCTGCAGCAACTTTTCAGTCTTCAGAAAAGCATTTTCCTTCCTAAAGGACCGGTGATACTGGGGGTGTCGACCAATTTAGTCTATGGACTATTTGTTGGGGTGTTGATTGCTTGTAGCAAACAGAAAATAGCGACATCTGTATTTAGCAAGCGGAGAATTGGTTTCCTTAGGAAAGCACGGCGATGCTGGGTGTCGACCACTTTAGTCCACGGACCAGAGCGACAGCTACTTCTGGGAAGCGGAATATCGCTTTCTTTGATACAAAAACACTGGGGATGAGGGGGGTTATGTAAAGAGCTTTGAATGTAAGCGCAAGAAGATTTCCTTGACTCAAAGCACTGGTGATGCTGGAGGTGTCGACCACTTCAGTCAACAAAGACTGTCAAAAGGAGAACGAGATGTCGGGCTCGACAAACATGCAATTCGTATTTTGTTTTGTAAGAACCTTGATGCGGTCAAATGACTGGAAAACTCGAGTTTGGACACCATCTACTTTCTTAACGGAACATATGTTGAAAATTTCCAACGATTCTGCCTCCCGCACCTTGCCGCACAGGTGCCTACCTTTACACGTCTCAAGTTTGAAGCCTTCGATACTGGAAAAAGGGCTTCGTTCCGCCTTGGAGTTACTTGACTCTCACATTTCGAAGGCGAACTTCTTTGGAGCAGACTGTAGATGTTTTTTTCGTCCGGCTGCAGGGCCGCCGGGGGGGGGGGGCGCTGGGGCAGGTTTACCCTAGCAAGTACAGACATGTGTATATATTTATATGTATATATATATATATATCTATGTATGTGTATGCGTATGCGTATATACACATATGCATATATGTATGTTTTTGCATATATATATATATATATATATATTTGTATATATATATATATATATATATATTACATATGTTTAAACATGTATATGTATAATACATATATATATATATGCTAACCCCCCCAAAACAAAACCCACCTTTTGATCTGTGGGGGGAATGAGCAGAATCTGGAAAGGACGGGATTCTTCTTGGCATAACAGGTGTGGTTTTTTTTTGGGGGGGGGGGTACCATATATATATATATATGTATATATATATATATATATCTATATATTTGTATACTATATATATTTATATATGTTTTTGCATCTGTATATATATTACATATGTTGAAATGTAAATTACATATATATATATATACTTATATATTACATATGTATATTTATAGATGTGCATATTTTCCTGGAATGGTCACCTCCGAGGCGTCCCGTGGAACCCAGAGACGCCGTGGACCCCGTGGATTTCCGGGAGCTTCCTGAGGCGCGAACTTGCCGCGAGTTTCACGAGGGACGACCTCGTTGAAAGGAAACCCCAAGAAAAAACGAAGAGGCGAGGAAATACGACGACTTTGGCGTGTGTCTTGGTTGTTTGCTTTGTTTGCTTGTGTGCTTGGTTGTTTTGGTTTGTTTTGTTTGGTTTGCTTGTTTGTTTGTTTGTTTGTTTGTTTGGTTTGCTTGCTTGTTTGTTTGTTTGTTTTGTTTGCTTGTTTTGTTTTGTTTGTTTGGTTTGCTCGGTTTGTTTTGTTTTGTTTTGTTTTGTTTGTTTGTTTGTTCTTTTGTTTGTTTGGTTTGCTTGCTTGTTTTGCTTGTTTGTTTGTTTGTTTGTTTGTTTGTTTGTTTGGTTTGCTTGATTGTTTTGTTTGTGGCTCGGTCGTCCTGTAAACGCGCGCTTTTTTTGGTTCTTTCCCCCCTGTAATGGCCGCAAAAACGCGCAAATCATATGGTTTTTCACAGGTTTCGTGCATGTCCGGCCACTACCACGTAAAACGCGGGAATTATATGGAAATTCACACTCACGATAGGCACGCCCGCTCAAGTGCACCCGCGCAGTACTGCATCCATGCCAGCCAAATGGTAAGAACACCCGTTCAAGTGCACCCGCGCAGCACTGCATCCATGCCAGCCAAATAGTAAGAACACCCGTTCAAGTGCACCCGCGCAGCACGGAATCCATGCCAGCCAAATGGTAAGAACACCCGTTCAAGTGCACCCGCGCAGCACTGCATCCATGCCAGCCAAATGGTAAGAACACCCCATGCCAGCCAAATGGTAAGAACACTGCATTCGCGCGCAGCACTGCATCCATGCCAGCCAAATGGTAAGAACACCCGTTCAAGTGCACCCGCGCAGCACTGCATCCATGCCAGCCAAATGGTAAGAACACCCGTTCAAGTGCACCCGCGCAGCACTGCATCCATGCCAGCCAAATGGTAAGAACACCCGTTCAAGTGCACCCGCGCAGCACTGCATCCATGCCAGCCAAATGGTAAGAACACCCGTTCAAGTGCACCCGCGCAGCACTGCATCCATGCCAGCCAAATGGTAAGAACACCCGTTCAAGTGCACCCGCGCAGCACGGAATCCATGCCCGCAACTTGCTCGAAACCCGGGTAGAAGAAAGTTAAGGAATAATGCCAACAAATTTAATGGGTGGGGGTGTCAGCCTTTTTAATTCTGTACATGGTTCTGGGAGTGCGACCATTTAAATAACAGGTTTTGATTTGGAGTCACCTAAGGATAGGCCGTGCTCTTGCAGTTCCACTCGGACATCCGGCCCACCCTTTGCTGGACTTGCTCGAAACCTGTGAAAAACCATATGATTTGCGCGTTTTGCGGCCATTACAGGGGGGAAAGAACGAAAAAAAAACGCGCGTTTACAGGACGTCTGAGCGTTTGTTTGTTTGTATGGATTGCTTGTTTGTTTGTTTGGTTTGCTTGTTTTGTTTTGTTTGATTGTTTGTTTGTTTGTTTGTCTGTTTGTTTGTTTGTTTGTTTGTTTGTTTGTTTGTTTGTTTGTTTGGTTTGCTTGTTTTGTTTTGTTTGCTTGGTTTGCTTGTTCTGTTTTGTTTTTTTGGTTTGCTTGTTTTGTTTTGTTTTGTTTGTTTGGTTTGCTTGTTTTGTTTTGTTTGTTTGTTTGTTTGTTTGTATGGATTGCTTGTTTGTTTGTTTGGTTTGCTTGTTTGTTTTGTTTGTTTGTTTGGTTTGCTTGTTTTGTTTTGTTTTGTTTGTTTGGTTTGCTTGTTTTTTTGTTTGTTTGTTTGTTTGTTTGTTTGGTTTGCTTGTTTGTTTGTATGTTTGTTTGTCTGTCCGTCTGTCTGTCTTTCTGTCTGTCTGTTTGTTTGGTTTGCTTGTTTGTTTGGTTTGCTTGTTTTATTGTTTTGCTTTGTTTTTCATGTTGGATTTTTGGTTTTCTTTTTGGTTTCCGCAACCAGTAAAAAGCGGGTGGTCCTTTGTCAGGACTTTAAGATGTGTCCTGAGGATGCTGTCGGGCACGGGTTGCTAATACATCCAGCAAGTGATAATTTCAGTTGAAGTGTTTCGTTGGCGAAACGGAACAGTGTCAAGTCGTTGTTGATTTGCCAACATCTCGCTTAAAGCGGAATAGCCCTCTTCGAACAAAATGCAGTTCGGACCCCCTGGGGGGTATTTACAGAAGGAAACCAGAGTAAACCAGAGGGAAACCAAAGGGAAACCAGACAAAAACCAGAGGGAAACCAGAGGGAAACCGATCAAAACCAGCAGAAAGCCATTTTTGCACGCATGACGTCTCGTAGGCGCTTCAAACCCCAACAGTACCAGAGCACCAGAGCCTCCTTCTGGTTTCCCTCTGGTTTCCTCTGGTTTGCTTCTGGTTTGCTTCTGCTTTCCTGGAATAACTACTGTTCTCCGTGCCAGGAGGCCAAGCTCTGGCCCAAGTCTGTGCTGGAGCGCTTCCGTCTCACCGGCCAACAGCCCCCCTGGAGCTCCGACCCAGGCGTCGTCGTCGTTTTTTTTTTTGTTCTCGTTTTTCGGTTTTCGGGGTTCGCGAAAGGCCTGAAGTTCGGGCTCCTCGATTTCGCAGCTTGCTTGATTTGGGATTGGCCAACCCTCCATTTTGACAAGCCCCAAAGCTCGATTTTGAGGCCAGCTCCAAAGCTCGATTTTGAGGCCAGCCCAAAGGGGGCCAGCCCCAAAGAAAACGGAAACGCCCTGCGCATCGGGCTGATCTTAGGCTCTTGATCCCCGTGAGGCACTGAGGCCCTGATGCTGGATGAGCCATCAGAGCTCCAGGCGCTTCGATCGGTTGCTTGGCCCTTCGATCGGTTGGTCGAGCCAAAATCGGGGAGCCCCAAAAGGGGGTGGTGTTCCCTCCCGGTTTCCCCCCTGAACATCACCCCACAAATGCAAGGATTCGTGCAAAGGAACGACACGCCCTAGGAAGTCTTCGATGGCTTTTGTCGCCTGGGAGACTGCGAGACATTCTTAAGCCATGTGCTTTTCTGTGGGTTGGCGTTTGGCAGAGGTTTTTCAGTCTCCCGCCCCCCTCTCCCCCCGGTAGCCAGGAACAAAACATGGAGTGTCTACACAACGTCTTGGTTTCAAGTTGGAGGCAAACGGTTGCTCAAACCGTAGGTGTCTGAACGTATTTAAGCAAAGTCGGCGTTCTGTTCCCCGCCAACCCCGAGTGATTTACCACTTTTGGGCAGGTTCGCACACCGACAACCTCCGCAGTCGCGAGTTCGCCATGCTCCCCCGACAACAGCAGCGTGAAAGATGCTTTTCGCGACAGCGAGGGCCCGGTTCCCGGCCTCTTTGCGCCATTCCGGCTGAAGTCGCAACCTTCACCCTGCGCGGAAGCTTCAAGCATGGCAATCCGTGTCTGTGTTGTGGAGCGGCATCCATCCGAGCACGCGGGTTCCAACACGTGTCCTCCTGCCACCGACGCTGGCGACAGCGCCCGCGTGTTCGAAAGAAAATCTGCGGACGTCGCTGCATGCTGCCGTCTGCAAGTTAAAGACGTCGAGCTTCTGACAATTAGGCTTTGTTTTTCTTTGTGTGTGCGAGGCTGCCTGTGCATGCGTATCTGGGGACCTGTATGTCTGAATGCGGAGTGAGAAAGACGGAAAAAGATGTCCGAAACGGTAGATTCCGCAATATTGCAGAATTCCCGAAATGGATTTCCTCCTCGTGCCCTTGGAACCAACGAAAAGGGGTTACCCCGCACCCTGGTGTCGCAAGTACACCAGCCAAAAATGAACCGTAAACCAACCCTAGACCACCTCAGCCAGGTTCCATGTTGGTGGAGGTTGGGCGCCATTTTTTGAAACTCTGATCCCACGGTGAGCCACAATCAAAACCCGGTTAAGTGAAGGTTAGTAAGGGAAAATCTCCTTGCCAGAATGAGTTGCGGCCGGTTTTGTAGTTCTTTACGTTGGGTACACCTTTTGAATACCGCTCGGTTTTGATTGCGACTCAGTTTTCTTAAACAAAAACCTCTTTTTCCACCATCAACTCTGATCCCCCCACCCAGGGCGCCATTTTTGTGACAGCTCCGATGTCACCTTCGCCGCAGGTGGAGGCGAACCTGCGGACCGCCGCGCTGTGGCTGAGCCGCTGCGCGGCTCTGGTGGTCGTCGCCGGCGAGGGCATGGCGGAGGTGCTGGAGCTGGACTCCGGCGCGCGAGGCGCGGGGCGCGCGGGGCGCGCGGGGCGCGCGCGAATCGAGTACCACAATCACCTAGGTCCCCCAGAAGTGCCCTTGGAGCCCCTTTTTTGGGGGAGGGTTCCCGTATTCTAACCTCTCTACTGGAGGACCTAGTCACATTCATTTTCGTGATGTGTTGGTGTACCAAGTAAATCATGATAAACAAGGTTGAAACATATAGATCCATATGTGTTGCTATTACCTTGGGATACATGACAACCACCAATTGGTGGCCTGTCTTTTGTTCGAAGGACCCAGTCCCATTCTTTCAAAAAACACCAGAAGGAGGTTTGAACGATGGTTTGCTGGCTGGGGTGGTTTGGGTTCCACGACGCCTTTGGTCACACATTTGATCACACCCAATCACATCATCAAGCAAGGTTTAAACTGTTTGTGGTCTAAACCGTGGTTTAAGCAAGGGAGGAAATGGGTTCAGGAGCACTCTCCAAAAATCATTGGCGGACACAAATCACCATGTATGAATGAGGTCCTTCCACCGCTCTCCAGTACTTCATTACCAGAAAGGACAAACCATGCCTCAGAATGAGTGTGCCTTTGAATTTCAAGAAGGTACCGTCAACAAAAAGACACCCAGTTGGGTGGGTGGTTAGGTGGGTGGGTGGGTGTGTGTGCGAGAGCGCTATGAGCACCAGAACAGCATTGCCATCGCGGGGCAAATTCAAGCGATGCAGAGAGGGTGACCAGCGTAGTCATAGATGAAGGTTCCTCATTTTGGGATTCGCTCAACGTTCATGTTTTTAACATGTTTCTAAAAACAAGAAACCCTTCTGAAGGTTCCCAGCAGGGTCCTTCTTTCACTTGAATGAGTGCTCTTCGCGAGACGGTGTGTGGAGCCGCCTATGGAGACAGGATCCTGGGGCTGTTTGCACTTTCCAAGGTCTTGCGCGAAATGAAGGTGCCCTGATAAGCTATGTGTCAAGATGGCGTTTGGGTGGATGGCTGTTCCGGGACGATCGCGGCATCGCCTTCTGTTTTCCAACGAAACCCTTCTCTTGATTCCCGATTTCGAAGCAAGAACTGCCTTTAAGGGAAGGGGGGGGGGTCGTATACCAGGAATGAAGGGTGTATGCAAACACGTTTTCTAGAAATGAAGGGTCGTACACCAGAAACCACCCTTTAAGCGAGGGGGTATAGCAGAAATGAAGGGTGTAAACACATTTTTCCTTGGCTAGAGCCACAACCCAAGGAAAAAGGAAGGGGGGGGTTCGTACACCAGACATACTGTGGATGGACGAAATCCTGCACCACCTCAGAAATGGGGGAATTGGTATTCCCCTGTAAATACCAACCAACAGTGGTTGCAACCATGGTTTCTTAGGTTTTGTGCGAAGGGATTTTGTACACTCACAGTCTTGGGGGTTGATTCTCACAAAATCTGCAGCCGAAAATGGCTCGTTTCGCGTTCCCTTTGAATGCCAAAACCGGTTTCAAAGCGGGTGATAGCGGATTTGGGTGTGGGTCAGGATATGGACCGCAGGTTTTGGTCCATGTTGCCACTTACCAGGGCAAGCCATTTTGGGGTTACCAACTATTTTTGACCCACGGCCATATGGCCGTGGGTCAAAAGCCAAATGGTACCTTTAGTGAACATCCCAATCCCCACTATAGACTCAATGGGTGGTGAATTCACCTACCAACCACCATGGGATCCCATTGGTTTTGACCGACCCTCTACAAAAAAAGGGATCGGTATTCACCCTGGAAAACCGATCGGTTTTCCCCAAAAAATGCCAACTAGAAAAAGGCCAAAGTGGGTATTTGGAGGTTCCGGGGGCGCAGCCATTTCCAGTTCCAATTGGCGAGATGTCCCATGCAGGCGGAGCAGCCTGGCCCGGGCTGGCAGAGCCCCTGGGCAGGAAACAAGCCGAGAGAAAATCTGTTTCTCTGTGTGCAGAGGTGTGCTTTTTGCTTCCCCAGAGTTAGTTCCTCCCTGTTTTTTTTTTTGGGGGCTTTTTTGGGGTCCCCTTTGCATTCCTCGAACCAGGCAAAAAGGTATATATTTTTTTGCCGGGGTCCTAATTCCAACCAAGTTTGGTCGGTTTGCTTAAAACATAGAGGGCGATTCCTGATTTAGATGGGGCTTATTCCATTTACCAGGGCCATCTATTTTTCCAAAAGGCCATGTCTGTGTGCGTGTTATGTTGGGCACCCCGCATTTTCGGTATGCCCCAAATGACTGCACCCGGCACCGGCATGACTGCAAGCTCTACGAATGAGCTGGAATTCGGACGATTGCTGGTCAACCAACATGGATGAGGCCATTTTCCCCTCAAAAACAATGCCCCAAATGAAGGGACCCCCACATTTGCTTGTTGCAAGGTGTATGAAGTGGAAGGGCCATGTCTCGTACAACGAGAATTGGTTCTGCGCGGAGTTTCTAGGTTTCTGGGTTCTTCGGAGAAATACGTGTCCTGCTGCGCGTGGGTCGACGGGTATTTGTCAGATGGGTGTTGGTCAAAATTAAACCACAGGCCGCCGCAGGTTTTGGTCCATGTTGCCACTTACCAGGGTTCCATTTTGGGTACCTATTTTTGACCCACAGCCAGATTTAGGTTGTCCTGAGTCGTGGCGACCATTCCCAAGTTTTATGTCAGGCTTATGCAAGTCCCCCAGCAGTCGCTCACGCATGAGACCCGGTCACATTATGATACAGGGCTCCTTAAAAGATACATGTTGCCCATTTGAAGCATGGCTTTTTCCAGCCAAAATAAAGGTTGAAACCACCATTTACAAGGCAATGCTCAGGTGCATAATGTAAGGATCCCTGTTATAAGAGATTCCTACTTCTTAATGATTGATTGGTACTGTTATAATCACAAACTATTTGAATCATCACTAATTATTGATTTAAGTATTACGTATAATTTTTAACCTCTGCCGTTCGTTAGTCTGTGGCCCATTTGAGAAGGTGAGGGGCTCACTTCCCACAAGACATCTCACTGACGTTCCCGGTCCCAACCTCGCAGCTTCCCGGATGGCGTGGAAGCTGCGTGGAAGCTACCGAGCCGAGCCAAAAGCACACCCGTCCAACTACGCATAGATGATATACGTCGCCTAAACTTAGCGACTATATACTTAATATACATACATTATATATATATAGCATATATAACATATATATATGTATATATCATGTATATGTATATAACATATATATATATATATATAACATATATATATATATATAACAGATATATATATATATAACATATATATAACAGAAATATATATATATCTATATATATATATATGTATATATATATATGCATGTAGTGATGACACAAGCCTCCTAAGACTCCATACTTCCGAATCCCATCTCCGAGCATGGCGTTTTGGCTCGGCAGGCTGGGGAGAAGCTTGGACCAGATGATGACCACCCGGTGCTTCCGGGAGGAGCCGGAGCTCTTCGGCGTGGCTCGTGGCTCGTGGTTTGGAGTCCTTCTCTCACGGCAGGGGACGCACTTTTCGCTTCTTTCCTTGGTGGCTCTCCCTGAATTCTAGTGGTGGCCGAAAAAGTGTACACCTTTTCTTGGGCTGGTCACTGGTCACTGGCCAAGTGAGGTGTAGGGAACCCTCAGTTGGTGGATTGGTGGTTTGGGCATTTGTTGAACCCCTGGCTCTTATCTTCTTAACCAACCTTGGGGGCAAGGCGAAACCGACCCCCTGAGTCCAAGTCCTAGACATACCGAAGCGCATGTCAGTGTCCGTGCCCTTGTGGCTTTGCTTCGCGTCCGTGAAGCTTGTGCCTTTGGGGTGTGTGAACTCTGTTGGGAAGGATTCACAGAGGTCTCACAACTTAGTCTCAGAGACGTTTCAAAGAAGGGAATCTACAGCTGTGTCACAGTGGGGGGGGGCACGTGGCAACTTGTGTCCTATGACTTAGTGTCCCCCCATGAAGTCGCTGGACGTGAGACAGTTTCTTGAAACAAACACGTGCACACATCAAACGATGGCCAGATTCTGCTGGCTGACAAGGTCTGCTTTGGCTAGAGCGGAGCGAAACGAACATCTTGGTCAAATCTCCCATGCCATCCGGGCTGCATGATTCCGAGGGGTTTTGTATCACACCCTAGGAATACACCCACTGGGTATTGACCCCATTTGGGCACATTTCCGTGAAACCGTGTTGTTTTGAACCATTCTGGGTCGTTTCCCAAGGGTGTAATCCCAGGGTGTAACAAACAAACCCTCAGATACATGTAAATAGTATGCCTTCCTGCTTTGAGGGGATGACGTGGGAGTGCCTCTGAGCCGGCACCAGTCAATGAGAGGTGACTCACTAGATTTAGTCAATGATCTCATTTTTGCCCCGCCCATCGAAGCCAAAGCGCACGCCAGAGGCTGGCCTGGGACTGCTGGCGCCACTACTTGCGGCGCTTCCGCGACGCGGAGCTGCACGCGGGGTACCGCTCCGCGCTCTTCGGGGAGCCGCCGCTGGGGACCTTCGCCTCTTGGACGCAGCAACAAGAAGCCCAAAATTGCCTATTAGAATAAGGGTACCCGATCTTTTTTTGGTTTGTCTATTTTAGTAGGGGAACCCTCCCAACCAAAAAAGGGGTTAAAAGGGGCACCTAGCTGGGAGGTGATTTGTGGCCATGGATCTTTAGACTTTCAGTTTTTTTTTGGAGATCTGTTTTTCTTTAAACCCGCAAACAGCTAAACTTGCAGCGGGGTCGTTGCAGCCAAGCCGAGAAATGGACGCCGGAGCTCGGCGAGTCGATGGGGCGCCCCACAAACCCGAAGCCCCCCGGCAGAAGAATTGGCTGTGGGTCAAAAATAGGGTAACCCCAAAATGGGAAAGCCCCCCTTAACCGCCAAACCACCGATTCGGCTCCAAACCACTAGAGGGAAGCTGATCAACAACTCTTTGGCACAGACCCCCCTATTAATAAACTGTCATTACTCAAATGCGACCCAAAATGGCTTGCCCTGGTAAGTGGCAACATGGACCAAAACCTGTGGTCCATATCCTGGTGGTGACTAATTTTGACCCACACCAAATTGGACCACTGAGACGGTTTTTGTTTGGGTCTCTTGCGGCCTCTGAATGCGCTTAGGTTATCTCAATGCTCCAATTTGGCTCATTTGCTTTTAGTTTGATATTCAAGATGCTTTCCGTGAAGTGTTCACGCCTTGGTGGGAGAGATATGGTATGTCACCTTTTTCTTGCCGGAGAAGTTACTTGGTTTGGGGTTCAGGGCTTCCTTTTCCCTTTTTGGAGCTCAAGTGGCGAGTGGGGAAATCCGAGCCGACCCCAGGTCTTGAGCACTGCTTGGGACGGCCTCTGGGCGGCCGCCGGCGCGAAAGTCCACGAAGTCTGCGGCAGTCCGCAGGCGAGCGAACACTAGACTGGGTGGGGTGGGGTTCTCAAATGGTGAATGGTAGGTGTTTAAAGGGAAGAACAAAGGGGGACTCCGTTTTTCTTGGAGCGCCGCACTTTGGTGAGCCGCAACTATCTACTGGCTTGGTTATGAAGTGGAGAAGGTGAAGGGATGGTCGCAGACAGAAATAGGTAACGCAAGACGCCCTTTTGACTCTTTCATGGTTTTGGGTATGTCGTTTTAGTGCCAGGTGTTGATTATGACGCAAGCGACATGCAGCCAACTAGGGCCAGTTTAAGCTTTTGACAGGGGTGCTGCGAGCTGTTCCAAAAAAAGATGACCAAAGATATCCTTTGGTCTCCTTTAGTTTCCCTCTTGCCCTCTGAGTTCGATGTTGAGCTCCCAAGCTCTTTCAACTGACAATGGTCGGGGTCAACAGCCAAAGCTTCCATGCTCAAGCTTTTTTTGTGTATCCCTTTCTGGTTGGCTTGTCTTTCTGGTTCTCTTTCGGTTTTCCTTTTTGGGCCGGTCAAGGTCCCTTGCGTTCTTTTCGGCAAGCTGGAACAGCTTGGTTCTCATTCGGACTGGCTCTCGGAGCTATCAAAGTCAGAAGCCGTGGTGCCATCAAAACCCTACCACTTTCGAGCGTGGCATTGTGAGCTCGTGTTTTCTTTTTTTCTTCTTTCCGCTCAAAAGCCATTCAAACAAATTGCCACTCGTAACAAGTGGTGACGGGCTTTGTTTTTCCTCGAAACGTTTCAAAAGCGGGGTTCGCAGTGTGATTCTAGGGGTAACTTCCCCATTCTTTCCAGGGATCCTTCTTTCCAGAAACCACAAAAAGAACCCAGGGGAAATGGCTGGTTTTTGAAAATAATGATGGCTGAAAAGAATGGAAAAGGAATCAACCCCTAGAGTGATGGATGTGCCGATTGTGCAAGAACCAGTGGCGCGTTGGCAGACATGGGTGGCGAAAGCAGCTTGGGTCCGCTGTTGGAAGGATGGGTTGCCTATTTCGAGACCCATATCTAGGTCCCCCAGTAGTGCCGATTTACCCTTTTTGGGGAGGGTTCCCCTACTAAAATAGAGTACAGAAAAAAAGGGTACCCTTATTCTAACCTCTCTATTGGAGGACCTAGCATATAGTCTCCAGACATGAAGAAAAAGCCTCAGCCACGCATCAGTTTCGATGATGGGGTTGTTCTTGTCGGCTTTTGGTTTCTACACCGCACGTCAACCCACTTGGCTGTGGGTCAAAACCAATGGGATCCCATTTTGGGGTAGGTGAATGCACCACCCATTTTAGAACCGATTTTAGTGGGGATTGAATCGGATGTTCACTGGGGGCTAAATCCGATTTGGATTTTGAAAAGCCCATGGCCACTTGCACTTCCCAGCCACTGATTTTGCACCCCTCCCTCCAACCCGCCTCCCTCCAACACCTCACGGAGGAGCTTCGCTGCTGCGGGGCGTGGCCGCTTCCCGAGGCCGCAAGAGGGGGTGAGACGAACTGGGCGAACCTCCGCGCCCGGAGTCGGATTTTTTGTTTTGCGGTCTCGTGGAGTCAAAAAAAGGCCGAAGTTTACCCCCGTGACCTCCAAATACCCGGCCTATTTTCTGGGGTACGATTTGTCCACCCTCTACTGAAAAGGAGGTATTTGCCATGGAAACCCAGGTTTTGCCAAAAACACCAACTAGAAAACGCGGGTATTTGGAGGTTACGGGGGGGTATCTGAACCTTTCAAGAGCATGCGTCCGTTTTGGTGTCCCCTGTGACCGCCGTGAAAAGGAGCCCTCCCTTCCGATTTGGGACAGCGCGTCGACGCCAAAACCGATTCGAGGAACTGGAGGTGTGTTGGGGCGCAAGGGTTGGCGCTTGGTCGGGGGACTCACAATGTGATTGGTGTCCTTTTGGTCTGCTCGACTTTTGGAAAGACACGGCTTTTGATCGGTGTGCCGCAGTTCTTCTTTGGACCCTTGTGTGACCTCGGGGAAGGACCCCTCAGCTGGACGGCGAGTTTATCAACCAGTGTTCAAAGCGGGCTTCATCCATGGCAACTCGCGCCTGCCCTAGATTTTGCAACCATCCCCAGTATCAATACCCCTATTGCTCCATCTGCCAACTCCGAAAACGGTGTGTCATTTTTTGGGTGAGCCACTTTTTTCTTAAAGAAGCCAACAGGAAAGGCCGTTCTCCGAAAACGCACAAGTGTGTGTCTTCTTTGGGTGAGCCGCTTTTTTTTGCTAGAGGCCTCAAAGAAGCCAACAGAAGAAAACGCCGCCGCGCCATTTCGGGGGGTCCAAGTCCTGAGAAAAGACGCGCCGCACGCTTCAGGATGTCCTGGAGCCCGGAGCGGCGCCGCCTTTGTGCAGGTGGGCGGCAAGCGGCGACCAAAAAAAATAACTGCCGGCCGGCGACAGGGGGGCTGCCGTTGTTTTTCTTTTCTTCTTTTTTCCCAAAGTTTTTTTTCCCCAAAGTTTTTTTTTCTTTTTTCCCATAGTCTTTCGGAGGTTGTTTTTCAGACTTGTCTTCGGACAGCGGTTCGTTGAGGCTGAGGGTTCTTGGGTTTCCTGCAAAGGTGGGGTCTTATATTTTTTTGGAGTCAAAAGCTCTAGGGCCAAGTGTTTGGCGGATGGTTTCTGGGGCAAGCAGAAGAGAGTTCAACCGGCTCGAACGGGTGGAGCGCAGCGCAGAGCCGGAGATCATGAATCAAAATCGGGATCAAGCAAACGAGGGGTAAAGCAAACACGGCCCATGAGTTTCATGTAACGGCTTGAACAACTCTAGTGTTCCACAGCCATGCAGGGATAGTATACTGAAGAAGCATAAAGACCAGCAACCGGGTAGTGCCAAATGATAGAAACGGTGAAGCAATCCATTGCGAGACAATCACTGTGCTTGTACTAAGATGTTCCGTAGGTTTTCCGGGGCGTATGTGAGCGTCACAAGTTCTTGTTGTGAGGTATGCATATTTGCAGTTGGGCATCCGCGTCTTTCAGGTTTCTTCAGACGGCCCCGAACTGATCCGCCCGATACGACAAGCGAGCTTGTCCACACGCTGGCCCCGGATCGTTCTACTGGATTTCTGAAGGCCAGAGGCTCCCTAGACATCATTTAGACCAGACGTAGCTCCGGTCTTGAGTCTTTACATCATGTTTTCACCAGCAATCTTTTTCTAAACGTAATATTATACACATACCGCAATCCTGTATTTGGTGCAGGGGCTGGTCGAGTCCGTTGCTTTTTGTTTCTTTTGGGGTTCTGCGTTGGGCCGCATTTGGCCGTCCCAGCTCTTCAGACGAGCGCCAGAAACCAACTTGTTGGCCAGTACGTAGCATGTGCCGCTTGGTTTCTTCAGGCCTCTCAAAACGTCGTACACCATGCCGCTCACGTCGTGCCACTTGGTTTCAAGGTGAAAAGCCATGCTGACGACCAAAGGTGGGTTTTCGGCTTTCAGGCGACAGGGCAAGCGTCTCAAGGCTCGAGGCCCCGGGGCTCGGAGTGCGCCAGGTGTGGCCAGGTGGCTTTGCCTGGCGTGCGGCTCTTGGATGAGGAGCGAGCCTCGTTTTTTGTCCTTCTTCTTTATCTTCTTGTTTTTTTCCCTCTTTCTCTTCTTCCTTTTTTCTTCCATTTTTTTTCTTCTGGGACTTGACTTTTGAAGTTGCAGGGCTCCTTAAAAGATTCGACCATTTTGCAACCATTTGACACATGTGGCTTTTTCAACACCAAAATAAAGGTTGAAACCTCCATTTACAAGGCAATGTTCAGGTGTATAATGTAAGGATCCCTGAGTTGGGATGCCCAAAAAGGGGAGAGGCTTTTTTTTTTTGGCACCCCTTTTTGTTTCTTTCACCCCTATTGTTTTTTGTCACCCCCTCCCCTTTCTCGGTGAGATGGTAAAAACAGGGGTGATGTTCTTGACGACTGTACCTTAAGATTGCGGGGACCCTAAAACAAGCAAGAAGGGTACCCGCAACAAAAAGACGCTCCCATTGTCAAGTTGGATTCGTGGACCTGGTGGATTAATCATGGGTGTGTCTGCAAGATATTTTTGCATGTGGTTGGTGTCCCTTTGATTTTCCCCTTGATACCCACTTTTTCTAGGGTATTGTTTGAAAAACCTGGGTTTCCATGGGTAAATACCGATCCCTGTTTTAGTAGAGGGTCGACCAATCATACCAACAAAAAACGAAGAATTGGGTATTGGGTGGTACGGGGTACAAGAAGGTGTCCAGAAGGACGACCCTCCTAAATGGGACAGTCCCTCTTAATCAACCGGGGTTTGCCTTCCGTTACCCAATGGCCCACCGCATTTCCCTCTTGTGTCGGGGAACCCCCTTTAAAGAAAAACAACTCGGCGGCAAACCAAAGCGAAAACGACCTATTTTTGGGGTTCAAATATGTTTGAGTCAACCGGGTTCAGGGTGGTCCTTAGACTGGTTGATTCCTTGATGCGAAACTTGTCCCAAAGGCGCAACTGCGACCCTTGCCAAACATTGGCGCGACTATGGGAGTTGCCATTTCGGTGACTCCCAGTTTCTCGCAAAAATCATCCTCTCCCTTCTTGAGTTCACGAACTTTAAACTTTTTGGGAAGACTATGTTAGACCATCCAAAAAGGTTTGGACCATCCACTTTTTTTGGACTTCCCAAAGTTTGGACCATCCAAATGGAAGAGCAAACCATTTTAGACTATTTTTGGGAAGACCAATTTAAATACAAAGTTAAGACGTTTTTCGGACCATCCACTTGGCAAGTGAGTCCCGCCTCCCAACATTTTTCTCGTGGCAATGGGCTTGAATCAAAGAGGAAGAGAGCGCCCTTTCCCGTGGCCGGCGGGGGGTTTTGGTGCACGTCTTAGTAGCAGCTCCTGGTTTCTCTTTGAAAAAACCAGAGCCCAACCCAAGTCAACCCGAAACCCAACCCTAAACCCTAAACCCTAGAGCCAAAACTCAGCCCTAAACCCAACCCCAAACCTTAAACCCAAATCCCAACCCAACCCCAAC